GCGCCTGGGGGTTCCCGGAAGTGGCCACACAAAGCAACGGTTGGCTTCCCCCGGTGCAGGAATTGACGGAGACCCCCCCCCCACCGGGCTTGGGGATTCCGCGAGCTGCCTGACTTCTCACCGCCCCCCCCCCTTGGGGTGAATACCCGGGTCCGGGCTCCTCGGCTACGTGGGGACGGAGCCATGTCCCTCCCTGGGGGGAAGAGTCCACAGGGCCCAGCTCCAGGGGCCGCGCAGACCCTTCCCGTGAGGCAGCGGGCTGGCCCAGAAGAAGCGCAACCCCCACCGCTCCCAGTCGAGCCCCCCAAACAGGCCTCCGTTCCGCCCGCGTGCGGCGGCCGCGCTCCTCAGGAGCCCACCTCCCGCTCCGCTCCTACCTGGTGCGGTGGCGCGGCGGCCGCCGGGCCGCGGTGCAGGTTCTGCAGCCGGTACATGCAGGTGGGGAGCTGCTCGGCCCGCACCGCGCCGGGCGCCCCGTGAAAGGACCTCACCTTGTACATGGGCATCGCGCCACAGCAGCCCCGCACCTACTGCTAACCCCGGCTGACTGAGTCGATCACACTGCGCTGCCACCGCAGCAGGCACCAGCCCAGAAACTGCCCCGCCCACCTCAACCTGTCCTCCATTGGGCCATGGACAAGTCCCTCACGCCAAAGCACACGTTATTGGTCCAACTAGAATTCTCTCCCCGCCCAGCTCCTTTACCCTCCTCCCACTGGTCAGAATGAGTGACTGATGCAACCAGGTGGATCTCAATAGGGCAAAGAGCAGAGATCCCTCTGTTGATTGGGCAGACCGATCAGCCAATCAGCATGCGGGAAAATGGAGTCTGCAAGAGTTGTGCTGCTGGGGGCTCTGTCCGAGGAGGCTTAATGTTGGCGCGTTGCTGGGCTGGGTTAGGGAGTCCTGCCGAGCCAGCCTGGCCGTCTGCGTGCCGGGAGCTGAGACTCTATGGAGGCGACGGCACCCTGGTGAGGCCCGTTCCACGAGGTGGGGGAGGTGCTGGTGACATGGAGGCGTCTGAGGGCGCCTCTCCCTGCGCCCGGAGGTGGCTTCATCTCCCGCCCGGGGGCGGGCGCGCGGGGCCCTTCTCTAGCGGTGGTGAGGCGCTGGCGCGTCCGTCCGTGCGGTGCCCCCACTATGGCCTTCTGTAGGGTGACCAGACAGCAAGTGTGAAAAATCGGGACAAGGGATGGGGGGTAATAGGAGCCTATATAAGAAAAAGACCCCAAAATCGGGACTGTCCCTATAAAATCGGGACATCTGGTCACCCTAGCCTTCTGCCAACCCAAACCTGCGTCATCCAGTCAAACTAACACAAAGTGGGGTATGCTAGAGGTCTATAAAATCACGACTAGTGTAGAGAAAGTATATAAGGAAGTGTTATTTACTCCGTCTCATAACGCAAGTACTAGGGGCCACCAGATGAAATTAGTAGGTAGCAGGTGTAAAACAAACAAAAGGAAGTATTGCTTCTCACAACACGCAGTCAACCTGTGGAACTCCTTGCCAGAGGATGTTGCGAAGGCCAAGACTATAACAGGGTTCAAAAAAGAACTAGGTAAGTTCATGGAGGATAGATCGATCAATAGCTATTAGCCAGGATGGGCAGGGATGCTGTCCCTAGCCTCTGTTTGCCAGAAGCTGGGAATGGATGACAGGGGATGGATCACTGGATGATTACTTGTTCTGTTCATTCCCTCTGGGGCACCTGGCATTGGCCACTGTTGGAAGACAGGATACTGGGCTAGATGGACCTTTGGTCTGACCCAGTATGGCTGCTTTTTATGTAGATGCTTTCTATGTCTACAGAAGTGCTTTTTCTGTCAGTGTCTTTAATCCACTTCCGTTAGTAGCAGTAGATAGCTCAGTATAAGAATTTTTCCATTGACACAGGTGTTTTTACTTGGGGGTCAGGTTGATGTAGCTATGGCGATCATGGGATAAAATTTTTCACAGCGCTGAGCGATATAGCTAGGTCAATCTAATTATTTAGTGCTGATCTACAGTAGAGACTTACATCAGTATAGCTACATCTCTCAGGGTGTGAAAAATCCACACCCCTAAGAGACATAGCTATACTGACCTAACCCCCAGCGTAGACAGTGCTAGGTTGATAGAAGACTTCTTCTGTCGATCTAGCTACGACTTCTCAGGGAGGCGGGTTACCTATATGGATGGGAGAAGCCTTCCTGTTGGTGTAGGTAGTGTCTATGCTGAAGTTGTGCTGCTGTAAATGTTTTAAATATAGATATACCCTTAGTCTGTGGTAGGCTAGTGCAGGGTCCGTTCACACGCCAGGTTGCTGCAAAATAAATGTTTGCGCAGACAAGCTCTAACACTCATGAGACTCTGCGCTGTAGCTGGCAGCCTCTATTTACTTGGTTCTTAACTCTGTGTTTTTAGTTGCTATAATTGTGGTGAGGGAAGTAGTACTGAATGATAGCAACCTTTTTCACATCTAATCCTTAATTGCTTTTTTCTTTTAGTGCACAGTCTGCTAAAGCCATCAAGCCTATAGACCATAAATCAGTTCACCAGATCTGTTCAGGACAGGTTGTACTGAATCTAGGCACTGCGGTGAAGGAGTTGGTGGAAAACAGTGTAGATGCTGGAGCTACTAATATTGGTAAACTTGTTGTTTTAATTTCATGTGAGACTAGTACTTAATATTTATATGCTACTTTGTAACTTCTAAGTGCTCTGCACCTCCAAACTGTTTCGGACAAATGCTTTGTATTTGACCAGGTATATTTATAGCCATTTCACAGATGGGAAAACTAAGGCATAGAGCACTTGGGGTCCCAATTCTACAATTGGATCTGTGGAGGCTATACTACTTTATTTCCATGTCTGATGTTATATAAAATTAATGGGATTACTATTGTGTAAAATTAAGCACAGGCATAAAAGTTTGCAGGATCAGGCCTGTTTTGGAAGCTTGCTGCAGCATGTCCTAGGCTGCTAGAAAACCATATGTAATCAAAATCTGACATGGAATCCAGCCTAGTTACCACCATTTGATGGCCATTCGGTGGACTATCAGGAATTAGTTTGGTTTAAGTCTAGTTCCCAATGGACAGTTTTCCACATCACAAAAACTACAGCCATAATTAACATTAACTGATACTCTTATTAGAGAGACAAGGTTGTTGAGATAATATCTTTTATGGACCAACTTCTGCTGGCTAAAGAGACAAGCTACACAGAACTCTTCTTCAAGTCTCTGCAAGGAGGCCAGGGATCTGAATGGAAATGGAGACTCAACTATTAGTGTGTCATGTGTGAAGTGCTTCCTCCATGTCAGAGTTCAGACATATTAACAAAGCAGTGTGAGGAGGCTTGTGCTGCTGCTTATGCTTAACCTCTTCCAAGGAATAGAGGATTTTAGTCTTCAGGCTGGCAACTTTTATGAGCAGAAAACTCTAATACGTGCATGCAAATTTAAAAAATTGAGCTAATCTAGCAGAAAGCACAGGTTGATTTGGAATTGAATAACTTAACTCTTGAAAGCTGTGAATCTTTTTTTAATTTGATTCAGAAAACAAATGGCTGTTGAAGACTTTACAATGCATTATTGACTTTGTGATGCTATACATTCTAAATATTGATCATGAACACTGAATGAAAACAATCTTTTAAAATGTTTAGACCTAAAGCTTAAAGAGTATGGAGCAGATCTTATCGAAGTTTCAGATAATGGTTGTGGAGTAGAAGAAGAAAACTTTGAGGGCTTGAGTAAGTTGAATTCTTCACAATTTATGTTTGTTCTAAATGTTTGAGAATATTTATATTATATATAAACTCTGATTTATCTGTCAAACTGATAACTGCAGTGAGAAAACTACTTCTTTCTTATAAAATTCCCAAGTTTAATCTCTTTAGGGGGAGGGATAGCTCAGTGGTTTGAGCATTGGCCTGCTAAACCCAGGGTTATGAGTTCAATCCTTGAGGGGGCCATTTAGGGATCTGGGGCAAAATCAGTACTTGGTCCTGCTAGTGAAGGCAGGGGACTGGACTCAATGACCTTTCAAGGTCCCTTCCAGTTCTAGGAGATAGGTATATCTCCTTAATTTTTTTTTTTTACTTAACCCGGTGGTCCCCAACCTTTTTCATCTGGCGGGCGCCAGACGACGAGCCACGGAGGACTGTGGCGGCAGATGAGCATGCGCCGAAATGCTGCCGACAAGCGGCAACGTCAATAGGCATCACTACCGAAATGCCGCCGACAAGCAGCGTCATCCAGAGGTGTCGCCGCCGAAATACCACCGAAAATCGGCGACGTTTCAGCGGTGACACCTCTGGATGACGCTGCTTTTTGGCGGATGCTCGTCCGCCGGCCAGTACGCGGGCGCACTTAGATGCCCCGGCGGGCGCCATGGCACCCACGGGCGCCGCGTTGGGGAACCCTGACTTAATCTTTCTAGAATGACGGATGTTCCCGCCAGAGTTGCAGTAAAACTAGTTTTATTGTCCATCCTGGTGTCGTTATGGTATGTACACGTGTGAAGACCTGGACCTAATTATGCGAGTGAATAGTGGAGGTGGAGGGCAAATTGTTGCATATGCTTATTCAAAGTCTCAAGGAAATTTTGATTCATCTGTGTTTCTTACTCTTTTATGTTCACTTTCTTTAAAAAGCAGTCACATTTTACAAGTATAACTGTTAATTAAAAAATGAATTTTAAGCTTGAATATTTGCTGAAAGCAAGCTTGAAATTGTATATTTGACTGTAAAATTTGCAATTTGTAGATTTTAAGTCATCCAAACAGGAAGCAGAAACAATACTATGGGACGTATGTAACTATCCAACACTTCAAAAATGGCAAATATTCTCAACAAACAGTTTGCAAAGGTCTGCACACCAAAATGTATTCACTGAAGGAATACATAATTTGGAATTACATTGGAGAATTTTGGAGATTATTTGCAAGCAGAAAACGGGGGAAAATAGTGAATAGTTGGTTAATTATTTACTTGACTCTACTATAGTTTACATAAAATATGGTATAAGCATCAAAGTTTTCTGTTTCTTTGGGAAGATATAAAATATACCTTCATACATCAATGTCATTTTGGAAAGATGTGATACAGTTACACATATTTTAAATAAATTTTTCCAGCTCTGAAATATTATACTTCCAAGATACAAGATTTCTCTGATCTAATGCATGTTGGAACATTTGGATTTCGAGGTGAAGCTCTGAGTTCACTGTGTGCGTTAAGGTAAAAATATTGTGCTTCATTAGTTGACGTAAAGATTCCACATGAATGCAAAAATATGACTTCAGTGATTAATGAAACAAGGCTTTGGAAACTTGTAAATGGGTTATTTCTCAACTAAAAAAGAACCCAATTATTTGTTTTTCTCCTTTATCATCTTATTTTTTAACTGTGTAGATTTGTTTGAATTAAGACCTCTCTGCAATACAAAAATAACAGTTAAATTAAAATATTTATTAAATTATTACTTAAATTATTTAATTTATTAATGATCCAGACCCAGCAAGTCTGAATTGGATTTAATTGTGTTATAGCTTGGTTAAAAACAAGTTTACCTTGATCTAGTAATTTGCCTATTTTAAAGAATATTTTGTAACCCAGTTACAATGCATGTGGATGAGACCAAACTCTGCTGGGTCTCATGTTATTCAGTTGAACTGCAACCAAATTAACAATTGTTAAAATGTATTGTTTTGTACAGTAACTCCTCGCTTAACGTTGTAGTTATGTTCCTGAAAAATGCGACTTTAAGCGAAACGATGTTAAGCAAATCCAATTTCCCCATAAGAAATAATGTAAATGGGGAGGTTAGGTTCCAGGGAAATTTTTT